GGCAGGCAAGGCTGCGATGGCTGGGTCATGTAGCCCGCATGCCCAGTCACCGCATGCCGAAACAGCTTTTATTCGGCCGGATCGAGGGGGCTAAACGGGCGCGGCACGGGCTAGAGAAGAGATGGAGTGATGTGGTCCAGGAGGACGTGGAGCTGAGTGGACTTGCCGATGACCGGTACCAGCGGTGTCAAGATCGGCCTCTGTGGAGCAGGCTCGTGAAGGACGCTATTGGGCAGTTGGAGGCAGTCGCCCTCCAACAACAACGGAGGGCGGAGGAGCGACGCTCACAACAACGAGCGGAGCGGCGGGTGGCTAAAGCACAGCAGGTTGGCACAGTAGGGGGCACAGGTGGTGCACCAGCCAGTCATCTCAGTCAGTCGACCCGTGCCACCTGGGTCTGCCCCGTGACCTCCTGCCCGCGGGCGTTCGACACTTCATGTGGCCTCAAGGTGCACATGGCCTGGCACAAGCGTCGTGGTGACGTCACCGCCACTTAGTGGCGAATGGCGGTTGTTGTTGAGTGTGTGGATGAGTGTCTGGGTGAGTGTGTGGGTGAGTGTCTGGGTGAGTGTGTGGGTGAGTGTATGGGTGAGTGTGTGGGTGAGTGTGTGGGTGAGTGTGTGGGTGAGTGTGTGGGTGAGTGTCTGGGTGAGTGTGTGGGTGAGTGTGTGGGTGAGTGTCTGGGTGAGTGTGTGGGTGAGTGTGTGGGTGAGTGTCTGGGTGAGTGTGTGGGTGAGTGTCTGGGTGAGTGTGTGGGTGAGTGTATGGGTGAGTGTGTGGGTGAGTGTCTGGGTGAGTGTGTGGGTGAGTGTCTGGGTGAGTGTGTGGGTGAGTGTATGGGTGAGTGTGTGGGTGAGTGTCTGGGTGAGTGTGTGGGTGAGTGTGGGTGAGTGTCTGGGTGTGTGGGTGAGTGTGTGGGTGAGTGTCTGGGTGAGTGTGTGGGTGAGTGTGTGGGTGAGTGTCTGGGTAAGTGTGTGGGTGAGTGTCTGGGTGAGTGTGTGGGTGTGTGTGTGGGTGAGTGGGTGGGTGAGTGTGTGGGTGAGTGTGTGGGTGAGTGTCTGGGTGAGTGTGTGGGTGAGTGTGTGGGTGAGTGTCTGGGTAAGTGTGTGGGTGAGCCGGTGTCAGTCCAGCCAACCTATAACACCTGGGTGTCCCCCGTGATCTGCCAGCAGTGAGCCTCCACACTTCACGTGACGGCTCATGATTGCACCTAGCCTAGCACAAGTGCTGTTCTATCACCATCACTATAGTGGCGAGTAATGGCTGTGTTGTGGCGAGTGTGGCTGAGTGTGGTTCATGGTTAAAGAGACCGATCCAGAGGAGGATTTTGAGTCGGATTTATTGAGCAGAGACACACAGAGAAAGGGGAGGAGACATGCAGGAAACAAACAAAGGTTCCCCGTGTAACCCCACAAGACTGCTGGGGCAAGGGCTGTCCGCGAGTGCCACACCTTTGTCACCCCGATGCTGATGTTTACACAACTCACTAGGGACTCATCTAAGGATGAGTTGACCTCGGGGTTAGGCCCAGGAACGGTCCAGATGTAACCGGCAATGTTGGCCATGAGTGGGAATGGAACGCCTGTCGCTGGGTCTGTAGCGCAGCGTTAACCTCTGCGCCACTCCTCGCTCATCACGCAGACACAGGGAGAGACACAGACGCAGAGTTCATGCAAAGTGCAGAGGCAGGGGGAGTGCTGTGTCTCTGTCTCAGGAGACACAGAGACAGGGGGAGTGCTGTGTCTCTGTCTCAGGAGACACAGAGACAGGGAGAGGGCTGTGTCTCTGTCTCAGGAGACACAGAGACAGGGGGAGTGCTGTGTCTCTGTCTCAGGAGACACAGAGACAGGGGGAGTGCTGTGTCTCTGTCTCAGGAGACACAGAGACAGGGGGAGTGCTGTGTCTCTGTCTCAAGAGACACAGAGACAGGGGGAGTGCTGTGTCTCTGTCTCAGGAGACACAGAGACAGGGGGAGTGCTGTGTCTCTGTCTCAGGAGACACAGAGACAGGGGGAGTGCTGTGTCTCTGTCTCAGGAGACACAGACAGGGGGAGTGCTGTGTCTCTGTCTCAGGAGACACAGAGACAGGGGGAGTGCTGTGTCTCTGTCTCAGGAGACACAGAGAAAGGGGGAGTGCTGTGTCTCTGTCTCAGGAGACACAGACAGGGGGAGTGCTGTGTCTCTGTCTCAGGAGACACAGAGACAGCGGAGGTGCTGTGTCTCTGCCTCAGGAGACACAGAGACAGGGGGAGTGCTGTCTCTGTCTCAGGAGACACAGAGACAGAAGGAGTACTGTGTCTCTGTCTCAGGAGACACAGAGACAGGGGGAGTGCTGTGTCTCTGTCTCAGGAGACACAGAGACAGGGGGAGTGCTGTGTCTCTGTCTCAGGAGACACAGAGACAGGGGGAGTGCTGTGTCTCTGTCTCAGGAGACACAGAGACAGGGGGAGTGCTGTGTCTCTGTCTCAGGAGACACAGAGACAGGGGGAGTGCTGTGTCTCTGTCTCAGGAGACACAGAGACAGGGGGAGTGCTGTGTCTCTGTCTCAGGAGACACAGAGACAGGGGGAGTGCTGTGTCTCTGTCTCAGGAGACACAGAGACAGGGGGAGTGCTGTGTCTCTGTCTCAGGAGACACAGAGACAGGGGGAGTGCTGTGTCTCTGTCTCAGGAGACACAGAGACAGGGGGAGTGCTGTGTCTCTGTCTCAGGAGACACAGAGACAGGGGGAGTGCTGTGTCTCTGTCTCAGGAGACACAGAGACAGGGGGAGTGCTGTGTCTCTGCCTCAGGAGACACAGAGACAGGGGGAGTGCTGTGTCTCTGTCTCAGGAGACACAGAGACAGGGGGAGTGCTGTGTCTCTGTCTCAGGAGACACAGAGACAGGGGGAGTGCTGTGTCTCTGTCTCAGGAGACACAGAGACAGGGGGAGTGCTGTGTCTCTGTCTCAGGAGACACAGACAGGGGGAGTGCTGTGTCTCTGTCTCAGGAGACACAGAGACAAGGGGAGTGCTGTGTCTCTGTCTCAGGAGACACAGACAGGGGGAGTGCTGTGTCTCTGTCTCAGGAGACACAGACAGGGGGAGTGCTGTGTCTCTGTCTCAGGAGACACAGAGACAGCGGAGGTGCTGTGTCTCTGTCTCAGGAGACACAGGGACAGGGGGAGTGCTGTCTCTGTCTCAGGAGACACAGAGACAGGGGGAGTGCTGTGTCTCTCTCTCAGGAGACACAGAGACAGGGGGAGTGCTGTGTCTCTGTCTCAGGAGACACAGAGACAGGGGGAGTGCTGTGTCTCTGTCTCAGGAGACACAGAGACAGGGGGAGTGCTGTGTCTCTGTCTCAGGAGACACAGAGACAGGGGGAGTGCTGTGTCTCTGTCTCAGGAGACACAGAGACAGGGGGAGTGCTGTGTCTCTGTCTCAGGAGACACAGAGACAGGGGGAGTGCTGTGTCTCTGTCTCAGGAGACACAGAGACAGGGGGAGTGCTGTGTCTCTGTCTCAGGAGACACAGAGACAGGGGGAGTGCTGTGTCTCTGTCTCAGGAGACACAGAGACAGGGGGAGTGCTGTGTCTCTGCCTCAGGAGACACAGAGACAGGGGGAGTGCTGTGTCTCTGTCTCAGGAGACACAGAGACAGGGGGAGTGCTGTGTCTCTGTCTCAGGAGACACAGAGACAGGGGGAGTGCTGTGTCTCTGTCTCAGGAGACACAGAGACAGCGGGAGTGCTGTGTCTCTGTCTCAGGAGACACAGAGACAGGGGGAGTGCTGTGTCTCTGTCTCAGGAGACACAGAGACAGCGGGAGTGCTGTGTCTCTGTCTCAGGAGACACAGAGACAGGGGGAGTGCTGTTTCTCTGTCTCAGGAGACACAGAGACAGGGGGAGTGCTGTGTCTCTGTCTCAGGAGACACAGAGACAGGGGGAGTGCTGTGTCTCTGCCTCAGGAGACACAGAGACAGGGGGAGTGCTGTGTCTCTGTCTCAGGAGACACAGAGACAGGGGGAGTGCTGTGTCTCTGTCTCAGGAGACACAGAGACAGGGGGAGTGCTGTGTCTCTGTCTCAGGAGACACAGAGACAGCGGGAGTGCTGTGTCTCTGTCTCAGGAGACACAGAGACAGGGGGAGTGCTGTGTCTCTGTCTCAGGAGACACAGAGACAGCGGGAGTGCTGTGTCTCTGTCTCAGGAGACACAGAGACAAGGGGAGTGCTGTGTCTCTGTCTCAGGAGACACAGACAGGGGGAGTGCTGTGTCTCTGTCTCAGGAGACACAGAGACAGGGGGAGTGCTGTGTCTCTGTCTCAGGAGACACAGACAGGGGGAGTGCTGTGTCTCTGTCTCAGGAGACACAGACAGGGGGAGTGCTGTGTCTCTGTCTCAGGAGACACAGAGACAGGGGGAGTGCTGTGTCTCTGTCTCAGGAGACACAGAGACAGGGGGAGTGCTGTGTCTCTGTCTCAGGAGACACAGAGACAGGAGGAGTGCTGTGTCTCTGTCTCAGGAGACACAGGGACAGGGGGAGTGCTGTGTCTCTGTCTCAGGAGACACAGAGACAGGGGGAGTGCTGTGTCTCTGTCTCAGGAGACACAGAGACAGCGGGAGTGCTGTGTCTCTGTCTCAGGAGACACAGACAGGGGGAGTGCTGTGTCTCTGTCTCAGGAGACACAGAGACAGGAGGAGTGCTGTGTCTCTGTCTCAGGAGACACAGACAGGGGGAGTGCTGTGTCTCTGTCTCAGGAGACACAGAGACAGGGGGAGTGCTGTGTCTCTGTCTCAGGAGACACAGAGACAAGGGGAGTGCTGTGTCTCTGTCTCAGGAGACACAGAGACAGGAGGAGTGCTGTGTCTCTGTCTCAGGAGACACAGAGACAGGAGGAGTGCTGTGTCTCTGTCTCAGGAGAAACAGAGACAGGGGGAGTGCTGTGTCTCTGTCTCAGGAGACACAGAGACAGCGGGAGTGCTGTGTCTCTGTCTCAGGAGACACAGAGACAGGGGGAGTGCTGTGTCTCTGTCTCAGGAGACACAGAGACAGCGGGAGTGCTGTCTCTGTCTCAGGAGACACAGAGACAGGGGGAGTGCTGTGTCTCTGTCTCAGGAGACACAGAGACAGGAGGAGTGCTGTGTCTCTGTCTCAGGAGACACAGAGACAGGGGGAGTGCTGTGTCTCTGTCTCAGGAGACACAGAGACAGGAGGAGTGCTGTGTCTCTGTCTCAGGAGACACAGAGACAGCGGGAGTGCTGTGTCTCTGTCTCAGGAGACACAGAGACAGGGGGAGGGCTGTGTCTCTGTCTCAGGAGACACAGAGACAGCGGGAGTGCTGTGTCTCTGTCTCAGGAGACACAGAGACAGGGGGAGTGCTGTGTCTTTGTCTCCGGAGACACAGAGACAGCGGGAGTGCTGTGTCTCTGTCTCAGGAGACACAGAGACAGCGGGAGTGCTGTGTCTCTGTCTCAGGAGACACAGAGACAGGGGGAGTGCTGTGTCTCTGTCTCAGGAGACACAGAGACAGGGGGAGTGCTGTGTCTCTGTCTCAGGAGACACAGAGACAGGGGGAGTGCTGTGTCTCTGTCTCAGGAGACACAGAGACAGGGGGAGTGCTGTGTCTCTGTCTCAGGAGACAAGATATATTCATCATCGCCAGTTAATAATTATATTGCACCTCCCATGCAGTACATTTTGGAGGCAGTCGAGACCGATGGACCACCCACCCACCCAACCCAACCCACCCACCCACCCCAACCCAACCCACCCACCAACCTACCCACCAAACCTACCAACCTACCCACCCAACCTACCAACCTACCCACCCAACCTACCAACCTACCCACCCACCTACCCCACCCACCCACCCCAACCCACCCACCCACCCCAACCCACCCACCCACCCACCAACCTACCCACCCAACCTAGCAACCTACCCACCCCACCCACCCCACCCACCCAATCCACCCACCCAACCTACCCACCCAACCTACCCACCCACCCAACCCAACCCACCCACCTAAACCCACCCACCCACCAAACCCAACCCACCAACCTACCCACACAACCTACCCACCCACCCAACCTACCAACCTACCCACCCACCCTACCCACCCCACCCACCCCAACCCACCCGCCCACCAACCTACCCACCTACCAACCTACCCACCCAACCTACCAACCTACCCACCCTACCCACCTAAACCCACATACCCACCCACCCACCCCAACCTACCCACCCACCCACCCAACCTACCACCCTACCAACCCAACCTACCCACCCACCTAAACCCACCCACCCACTCACCCCAACCCACCCACCCACCTAAACCCACCCACCCACCTAAACTCACCCACCCACCCACCTAAACCCACCAACCCACCCACCCACTCGCTCAGCCGCCCGCCCGCCCCTCGTGAGAGCGACGTCACAGGGTGCGGAACGAGCGAAGCGCTGGAGACCTCGAACGTCACGACCTCCCCCCGCCACGGCTCAGAGGTCACCGGAGTCGTAGGTCACGACCCCCGGCCGTATGGCCAGCGCCGCGACCTCCGAGGGGTCGTGGTGCGGGGTCGTGGCGGGGTCAAAGTCGGGCTCGGGGTCGCTCAGCAGGAGGTCGTCCAGGAAGTCGTCGGGCCCGGAGGAGTCGCTGCAGGCGCTGTAGTCCGGCTCCTCGTCGCACGGCGCCTCTTCCTCTTCCTCCTCCACCTCCTCGTCCACCCCCACCACAGCGCTGGGGGACACACGGGGGGGGGGGGGGGGAGACGCTCGGCCACTCACTCAACCGCTCATGCAGTCACTCACTCACTCGCTGAACGAGTGAGTGAGTGAATGATTCGTGAATTGTGTCTGCCCCCGTGACTTCCCCATGTCTCCTCCGTACGTGCCCCAAGTATCTCCACCCGTGTCTCCATCCGTGCCTCCTCCAGTGTCTCCCCCCCGTGTCTCCCCCGTGTCTCCATCCGTGCCTCCTCCAGTGTCTCCCCCCCGTGTCTCCCCGCGTACCGGAGGGCGCTGTCTCCCGGTGTCCACGCGTTGTCCCCGCCGTGTCCCAGGCGCGGACGAAGGCGGAGGAGAGCAATGCAGAAACACTCCCCCATCTCCTGCAGCTCACGCAGACCCAGCTGGAGACCCTGGGAGCGTGATAGAAACACGCTCACCCACCCACCGACCCATCCTCTCACTCACTCACTTACTCACTCACTCACCCACCGACCCGTCCTCTCACTCACTCACTCACCCGTCCACCTGTAAATGTGTCCCTGGATAACTCACCAACTCATTCTCACCACCACCAGCATCACCGCTCACCCTGTAGGGACCGTGGTCACACCCACAGTAGGTGGTCTCCATGGTGTAGGAGGTCCACTCACCTTGTAGGGACCGTGGTCACACCCACAGTAGGTGGTCTCCATGGTGTAGGAGGTCCACTCACCCTGTAGGGACCGTGGTCACACCCACAGTAGGTGGTCTCCATGGTGTAGGAGGTCCACTCACCCTGTAGGGACCGTGGTCACACCCACAGTAGGTGGTCTCCATGGTGTAGGAGGTCCACTCACCTTGTAGGGACCGTGGTCACACCCACAGTAGGTGGTCTCCATGGTGTAGGAGGTCCACTCACCTTGTAGGGACCGTGGTCACACCCACAGTAGGTGGTCTCCATGGTGTAGGAGGTCCACTCACCTTGTAGGGACCGTGGTCACACCCACAGTAGGTGGTCTCCATGGTGTAGGAGGTCCACTCACCCTGTAGGGACCGTGGTCACACCCACAGTAGGTGGTCTCCATGGTGTAGGAGGTCCACTCACCTTGTAGGGACCGTGGTCACACCCACAGTAGGTGGTCTCCATGGTGTAGGAGGTCCACTCACCTTGTAGGGACCGTGGTCACACCCACAGTAGGTGGTCTCCATGGTGTAGGAGGTCCACTCACCCTGTAGGGACCGTGGTCACACCCACAGTAGGTGGTCTCCATGGTGTAGGAGGTCCACTCACCTTGTAGGGACCGTGGTCACACCCACAGTAGGTGGTCTCCATGGTGTAGGAGGTCCACTCACCTTGTAGGGACCGTGGTCACACCCACAGTAGGTGGTCTCCATGGTGTAGGAGCTTCACTCACCTTGTAGGGACCGTGGTCACACCCACAGTGGGTGGTCTCCATGGTGTAGGAGCTTCACTCACCTTGTAGGGACCGTGGTCACACCCACAGTAGGTGGTCTCCATGGTGTAGGAGGTCCACTCACCTTGTAGGGACCGTGGTCACACCCACAGTAGGTGGTCTCCACGGTGTAGGAGGTCCACTCACCTTGTAGGGACCGTGGTCACACCCACAGTAGGTGGTCTCCATGGTGTAGGAGCTTCACTCACCTTGTAGGGACCGTGGTCACACCCACAGTAGGTGGTCTCCATGGTGTAGGAGGTCCACTCACCTTGTAGGGACCGTGGTCACACCCACAGTAGGTGGTCTCCATGGTGTAGGAGCGCCACTCACCTTGTAGGGACCGTGGTCACACCCACAGTAGGTGGTCTCCATGGTGTAGGAGGTCCACTCACCTTGTAGGGACCGTGGTCACACCCACAGTAGGTGGTCTCCATGGTGTAGGAGGTCCACTCACCTTGTAGGGACCGTGGTCACACCCACAGTAGGTGGTCTCCATGGTGTAGGAGGTCCACTCACCTTGTAGGGACCGTGGTCACACCCACAGTAGGTGGTCTCCATGGTGTAGGAGGTCCACTCACCTTGTAGGGACCGTGGTCACACCCACAGTAGGTGGTCTCCATGGTGTAGGAGCGCCGCACTCCCAGCTCCCTCCAGGCCACCACGCGGGCTGTGGCGTCGCGCGACCGCTCCACCAGGAAACGCGACGAGCGCTCCGAGAACATCGGAGCGCTCGTCGCCAGCAGGCGCGCCAGCGTCTAGCAGGGAGCGGGGTAGACGAGTGGGGGGGGGGTAGCTGGGTGGGTGGGTAGCTGAGTGTGTGAGTAGCTTGGTGTCCGAGTAGCCGAGTGGGCAGCTGAGTGGGTGGGCAGCTGAGTGGGTGGGTACCCGAGTGGGGGGGGGGGGTGGGGGGTTAGCTGGGTGGGTAGGTGAGTGGGTGGGTAGGTGAGTTGGTGGGTAGTTGGGTGGGTGGGTAGCTGGGTGGGTGGGTAGCTGGGTGGGTGGGTAGTTGGGTGGGTGGGTAGCTGGGTGGGTGGGTAGCTGGGTGGGTGGGTAGCTGGGTGTGTGAGCCTCTGAGTGGGTGGGTAGCTGACCTGGTAGCTGGGTGGGTAGCTGGGTGGGTAGCTGGGTGTGTGAGTAGCTGAGTGTGTGAGTAGCTTGGTGTCCGAGTAGCCGAGTGGGTAGCTGAGTGGGTGGGTAGCCGAGTGGGTAGCCAGGTGGGTAAGCGAGCGGCTCACCCTGTAGCTCGAGTCCTCGCTGACACAGTTGGCGCCCAGCTCCGAGTACCACAACGTCTCCCGCAGGCTGCAGCCGTACAGGAAGACGTTCTTCTTGCTCGAGTGGCCGTGGTAGTCGCAGAACACCTGCAGCACCGGAGACGCGGACACACACGGGGACACGGACACACACGGGGACACGGAGAGACACACGGGGACACGGAGACACGGACACACACGGGGACACGGAGAGACACACGGGGACACGGAGAGACACACAGAGACACACGGGGACACGGAGAGACACACGGGGACACGGAGAGACACACGGGGACACGGGGACACACGGGGACACGGAGACAATCAGTCCATCAAGTCGCTCACCCACCCGACCCCACCCACCCACCCACCCCACCCACCCACCCACCCCCCCACCCACCCACCCCCCCCACCCCACCCACCCCACCCACCCCACCCACCGCGGGTGTGTGTCCCACGCTGGCGAGGTAGAGCAGCAGGCCCTTGCTGTGGTACACGGTGGGCGCCCGCTCTGGGCAGGGAGACCTCCACTGGCGGTTCAGATCCTCGCCGCTCAGAGCGCAGCGGTGCCTAAGTGGGGGCAGGGGGGCACAGGCGCAAGGGCCCCGGGCGGCCTCCAACACGGCGCCAGGGCAAGTGCACCGTGGCAGACGGACGCGAGGCAAAGGCCTCGCCCCCGCGTAGGTGCGGCGGCGGTGACGGCGGCGCCTACGAAGGCCGGCACCGCACCCGGCCGCCTTTGTCTCCCCAGTGGCGATGTTCACACCGGGTACTCGCACACACGCAGACTCACACAGACATCCGCACAGAGCGTGTGGTGAGCGTGTGGTGAGTGTGTGTGTCTCTCTGTGAGGTGAGTGTGTGGTGAGTGTGTGGTGAGTGTGTGTCTCTCTGTGAGGTGAGCGTGTGGTGAGTGTGTGGTGAGTGTGTGGGTCTCTCTGTGTGGTGAGCGTGTGGTGAGTCTGTGGTGAGCGTGTGGTGAGTGTGTGTGTCTCTCTGTGTGGTGAGCGTGTGGTGAGTGTGTGGTGAGTCTGTGGGTCTCTCTGTGTGGTGAGCGTGTGGTGAGTCTGTGGGTCTCCATGCGGCGGCGAGAGCGTGGTGAGCGTGGTGAGCACGTGGTGAGAGCGTGGTGAGCGTGGTGAGCGTGGTGAGAGCGTGGTGAGCGTGGTGAGCGCGTGGTGAGAGCGTGGTGAGCGTGGTGTGAGCGTGGTGTGAGCGTGGTGAGCGTGGTGGGCGTGGTGAGAGCGTGGTGAGCGTGGTGAGCGTGGTGAGCGCGTGGTGAGCGTGGTGAGCGTGGTGAGCGTGGTGAGAGCGTGGTGAGAGCGTGGTGTGAGCGTGGTGAGCGTGGTGAGAGCGTGGTGAGCGTGGTGAGCGTGGTGAGCGTGGTGAGAGCGTGGTGTGAGCGTGGTGAGCGTGGTGAGAGCGTGGTGAGAGCGTGGTGTGAGCGTGGTGAGTGTGGTGAGAGCGTGGTGAGAGCGTGGTGTGAGCGTGGTGAGCGTGGTGAGAGCGTGGTGAGAGCGTGGTGAGCGTGGTGTGAGCGTGGTGTGAGCGTGGTGAGCGTGGTGAGCGCGTGGTGAGAGCGTGGTAAGCGTGGTGTGAGCGTGGTGAGCGTGGTGAGAGCGTGGTGAGAGAGTGGTGAGCGTGGTGAGAGCGTGGTGAGAGAGTGGTGAGCGTGGTGTGAGCGTGGTGTGAGCATGGTGAGCGTGGTGAGCGTGGTGTGAGCGTGGTGAGAGCGTGGTGAGCGTGGTGAGCGCGTGGTGAGAGCGTGGTGAGCGTGGTGTGAGTGTGGTGAGCGTGGTGAGCGTGGTGAGCGCGTGGTGAGCGTGGTGAGCGTGGTGAGAGCGTGGTGAGCGTGGTGAGAGCGTGGTGTGAGCGTGGTGAGAGCGTGGTGAGCGTGGTGTGAGCGTGGTGAGCGTGGTGAGCGTGGTGAGCGTGGTGTGAGTGTGGTGAGTGCGTGGTGAGAGCGTGGTGAGCGTGGTGAGAGCGTGGTGAGAGAGTGGTGAGCGTGGTGTGAGCGTGGTGAGAGAGTGGTGAGCGTGGTGTGAGCGTGGTGAGCGCGTGGTGAGAGCGTGGTTAGAGCGTGGTGAGCGTGGTGAGCGTGGTGAGAGCGTGGTGAGCGTGGTGTGAGCGTGGTGAGCGCGTGGTGAGAGCGTGGTTAGAGCGTGGTGAGCGTGGTGAGAGAGTGGTGAGCGTGCCAGGGTCCTCACGCTCCGCTGGCCACGCCGTCCGGGTTGAGCATGGGCAGCACGCGGAAGACGTAGGCGAGGCGCAGGGCCCGGGCCTCCACGCTGGGGCCCAGCAGGAAGCCCAGAGAGCCGCGCATCACCCAGCTGCTGTTGGACTCCCCGGGGTGGACACGGGCAGAGAGCAGCACGCACGGGCGGCGCCCTGCGCACCACGCGGGGAGATACTCAGTGGGTACGTGTGGAGTGAGACACACAGTGGGTACGTGTGGAGTGAGATACACAGTGGGTACGTGTGGAGTGAGATACTCAGTGGGTACGTGTGGAGTGAGATACTCAGTGGGTACGTGTGGAGTGAGATACTCAGTGGGTACGTGTGGAGTGAGACACACAGTGGGTACGTGTGGAGTGAGATACACAGTGGGTACGTGTGGAGTGAGATACACAGTGGGTACGTGTGGAGTGAGATACACAGTGGGTACGTGTGGAGTGAGATACACAGTGGGTACGTGTGGAGTGAGACACACAGTGGGTACGTGTGGAGTGAGATACACAGTGGGTACGTGTGGAGTGAGACACACAGTGGGTACGTGTGGAGTGAGATACACACACAGCGGGTACGTGTGGAGTGAGATACACACACAGTGGGTACGTGTGGAGTGAGATACACAGTGGGTACGTGTGGAGTGAGATACACAGTGGGTACGTGTGGAGTGAGATACACAGTGGGTACGTGTGGAGTGAGATACACAGTGGGTACGTGTGGAGTGAGATACACAGTGAGTACGTGTGGAGTGAGATACACAGTGGGTACGTGTGGAGTGAGACACACAGTGGGTACGTGTGGAGTGAGACACACAGTGGGTACGTGTGGAGTGAGACACACAGTGGGTACGTGTGGAGTGAGACACACAGTGGGTACGTGTGGAGTGAGATACACAGTGGGTACGTGTGGAGTGAGATACACAGTGGGTACGTGTGGAGTGAGATACACAGTGGGTACGTGTGGAGTGAGACACACAGTGGGTACGTGTGGAGTGAGATACACAGTGGGTACGTGTGGAGTGAGATACTCAGTGGGTACGTGTGGAGTGAGATACACAGTGGGTACGTGTGGAGTGAGACACACAGTGGGTACGTGTGGAGTGAGATACACACAGTGGGTACGTGTGGAGTGAGATACACAGTGGGTACGTGTGGAGTGAGATACACAGTGGGTACGTGTGGAGTGAGACACACAGTGGGTACGTGTGGAGTGAGATACACAGTGGGTACGTGTGGAGTGAGATACACAGTGGGTACGTGTGGAGTGAGATACACAGTGGGTACGTGTGGAGTGAGATACACAGTGGGTACGTGTGGAGTGAGATACACAGTGGGTACGTGTGGAGTGAGATACACAGTGGGTACGTGTGGAGTGAGATACACAGTGGGTACGTGTGGAGTGAGATACACAGTGGGTACGTGTGGAGTGAGATACACAGTGGGTACGTGTGGAGTGAGACACACAGTGGGTACGTGTGGAGTGAGATACACAGTGAGTACGTGTGGAGTGAGATACACAGTGGGTACGTGTGGAGTGAGACACACAGTGGGTACGTGTGGAGTGAGATACACAGTGGGTACGTGTGGAGTGAGACACACAGTGGGTACGTGTGGAGTGAGATACACACACAGTGGGTACGTGTGGAGTGAGATACACAGTGGGTACGTGTGGAGTGAGATACACACACAGTGGGTACGTGTGGAGTGAGATACACAGTGGGTACGTGTGGAGTGAGATACTCAGTGGGTACGTGTGGAGTGAGATACACACAGTGGGTACGTGTGGAGTGAGATACACAGTGGGTACGTGTGGAGTGAGATACACAGTGGGTACGTGTGGAGTGAGACACACAGTGGGTACGTGTGGAGTGAGATACACAGTGGGTACGTGTGGAGTGAGATACTCAGTGGGTACGTGTGGAGTGAGACACACAGTGGGTACGTGTGGAGTGAGATACACAGTGGGTACGTGTGGAGTGAGATACACAGTGGGTACGTGTGGAGTGAGATACACAGTGGGTACGTGTGGAGTGAGACACACAGTGGGTACGTGTGGAGTGAGATACACACACAGTGGGTACGTGTGGAGTGAGATACACAGTGGGTACGTGTGGAGTGAGATACTCAGTGGGTACGTGTGGAGTGAGATACACACAGTGGGTACGTGTGGAGTGAGATACACAGTGGGTACGTGTGGAGTGAGACACACAGTGGGTACGTGTGGAGTGAGACACACAGTGGGTACGTGTGGAGTGAGATACTCAGTGGGTACGTGTGGAGTGAGATACACAGTGGGTACGTGTGGAGTGAGATACACAGTGGGTACGTGTGGAGTGAGATACTCAGTGGGTACGTGTGGAGTGAGATACACAGTGGGTACGTGTGGAGTGAGACACACAGTGGGTACGTGTGGAGTGAGATACACACACAGTGGGTACGTGTGGAGTGAGATACACAGTGGGTACGTGTGGAGTGAGATACACAGTGGGTACGTGTGGAGTGAGACACACAGTGGGTACGTGTGGAGTGAGATACACACACAGTGGGTACGTGTGGAGTGAGATACACAGTGGGTACGTGTGGAGTGAGATACACAGTGGGTACGTGTGGAGTGAGACACACAGTGGGTACGTGTGGAGTGAGATACACAGTGGGTACGTGTGGAGTGAGACACACAGTGGGTACGTGTGGAGTGAGATACACAGTGGGTACGTGTGGAGTGAGATACACAGTGGGTACGTGTGGAGTGAGATACACAGTGGGTACGTGTGGAGTGAGATACACAGTGGGTACGTGTGGAGTGAGATACACAGTGGGTACGTGTGGAGTGAGATACACAGTGGGTACGTGTGGAGTGAGATACACAGTGGGTACGTGTGGTGTGAGATACACACACAGTGGGTACGTGTGGAGTGAGATACACACACAGTGGGTACGTGTGGAGTGAGATACACAGTGGGTACGTGTGGAGTGAGATACACAGTGGGTACGTGTGGAGTGAGATACACAGTGGGTACGTGTGGAGTGAGATACACAGTGGGTACGTGTGGAGTGAGATACACAGTGGGTACGTGTGGAGTGAGATACACAGTGGGTACGTGTCGAGTGAGATACACAGTGGGTACGTGTGGAGTGAGATACACAGTGGGTACGTGTGGAGTGAGATACACAGTGGGTACGTGTGGAGTGAGACACACAGTGGGTACGTGTGGAGTGAGATACACACACAGTGAGTACGTGTGGAGTGAGATACACAGTGGGTACGTGTGGAGTGAGATACACACACAGTGGGTACGTGTGGAGTGAGATACACACACAGTGGGTACGTGTGGAGTGAGATACACACACAGTGGGTACGTGTGGAGTGAGATACACACACAGTGGGTACGTGTGGAGTGAGATAAACACACAGACTCACACAGACACACAAACACACAGACTCACACAGACGCATAAACACACAGACTCACACAGATTGACACAGATGGAGTGTGTCCCCGTGTGTCCCCGTGTGTCCCCGTGTGTCCCCGCGTGTCTCACTCAGAGACTGGAGGTCTCTCTGTGAGGTTGGCGCTGCGGTGATGGTGAGGATGGGACAGCTGTTGCCCCCTGCGGTTAGACACAGCATGTCTCTCTGCACGAACACCGAGCTTCGGTCGCACGCAGACAGCATCGACTCCAGGTCCACCTGCAAAGACAAAACCACACTCACCACACCAGCCACACTCACCACACTCACCACACTCACCACACCAGCCACACTCACCACACTCACCACACTCACCACACCAGCCACACCAGCCACACTCACCACATCAACCACACTCGCCACATTCACCACACTCACCACACCGACCACACTCACCACACTCACCACACTCGCCACATTCACCACACTCACCACACCGACCACACTCACCACACCGACCACATTCACCACACTCACCACTCACCACACTCACCGCATGAACCACACTCACCACACCAGCCACACTCACCACACCAGCCACACTCGCCACACCAGCCACACTCACCACACCAGCCACACTCGCCACACTCACCACACTCACCACACCAGCCACACTCACCACACTCACCACACCGACCACAACCACCGCATGAACCACACTCACCACAATCACATGGTGAGTGGGTGTACACTCACCATGAGTGAGGTGTAGGGGTAGTGGTGAGTGAGTGGTGAGTAAGTGGTGAGTGAGTGGTGAGTGAGTGGGTGGGTGTACATTCACCATGAGTGAGGTGTAGGTGTAGTGGTGAGTAAGTGGTGAGTGAGTGGTGAGTGAGTGGGTGGGTGTACATTCACCATGAGTGAGGTGTAGGTGTAGTGGTGAGTGAGTGGTGAGTGAGTGGTGAGTGAGTGGTGAGCGAGTGGGTGTACACTCACCATGAGTGAGGTGTAGGTGTGTAGTGGTGAGTAAGTGGTGAGTGAGTGGTGAGCGAGTGGTGAGCGAGTGGGTGTACACTCACCATGAGTGAGGTGTAGGTGTAGTGGTGAGTAAGTGGTGAGTGAGTGGTGAGCGAGTGGTGAGCGAGTGGGTGTACACTCACCATGAGTGAGGTGTAGGTGTAGTGGTGAGTAAGTGGTGAGTGGTGAGTGAGTGAGTGGGTGTACATTCACCGTGAGTGAGGTGTAGGGGTAGTGGTGAGTGAGTGGTGAGTGAGTGGTGAGTAAGTGGTGAGCGAGTGGGTGTACACTCACCATGAGTGAGGTGTAGGTGTAGTGGTAAGTGGTGAGTGAGTGGTGAGTGAGTGGGTGTACACTCACTATGAGTGAGGTGTAGGGGTAGTGGTGAGTGAGTGGTGAGTAAGTGGTGAGCGAGTGGTGAGCGAGTGGGTGTACACTCACCATGAGTGAGGTGTAGGTGTAGTGGTGAGTAAGTGGTGAGTAAGTGGTGAGTGGTGAGCGAGTGGGTGTACACTCACCATGAGTGAGGTGTAGGTGTAGTGCTAAGTGGTGAGTAAGTGGTGAGTGAGTGGTGAGCGAGTGGTGAGCGAGTGGGTGTACACTCACCATGAGTGAGGTGTAGGTGTAGTGGTAAGTGGTGAGTGGTGAGCGAGCGAGTGGGTGTACACTCACCATGAGTGAGGTGTAGGTGTAGTGCTAAGTGGTGAGTGAGTGGTGAGCGAGTGGGTGTACACTCACCATGAGTGAGGTGTAGGTGTAGGGGTAGTGGTGAGCGAGGTAGCAGACGTCCCCACTGTGTGGGAAGGTGAGGGTGAGCACGAGTGAGTAGTAGGATTTACCCCTCACCCCTCCCGTCACTCGACTGGGTCGCCTGTAGCTGTTCCTGCATCCCACACGCACACAGACAAAGGTCCCCCATGTAGCCTCAGCAAGACTGTCGGGGCAAGTGCTGTTAGCGGGTGCCTATGGAGGCTGGAAGGGCACAGGAGGAGGGGGTGGGTGGCCAGCACCACGCCCGGCCGCCTTTGTCTCCCCAGTGCTGGCGATGTTCACTACACACCGCACTGGGGTAGTCAATTTAGGCTGAGTCGACCTAGGGGAGGCCCAGGACCCGGTTTAGATCATCTTCACCGGTGTTGGCCATGAGCGGGAATCGAACTCGGGTCGCCGGGTTCGTAGTGCAGTGTGGAACCGCTACACTACCGCTCCACACTGTTCCTGCATCCCACACACGCACAGACAAAGGTCCCCCGTGTAGCCTCAAGTGCTGTTCGTGAGTGGACACAGCAGCACCTATGAAGGCCGACACCACGCCCGGCCGCCTTTGTCTCCCCAGTGATGGCGATGTTCACTACACCGCTAAACCAGCTACTCAATTGAGTCCGAGTCGACATAGGGGAGGCCCAGGACCGGTTCAGAGACTAATCAGTCTCGGTGATGTCGACCATCAGTGGGAATCGGACTTGTACTGTGTGTGTACTGTGAGTACTGTGAGTGTACTGTGTGTGTACTGTGTGTGTGTACTGTGTGAGTACTGTGTGTGTACTGTGTGAGTACTGTGTGTGTACTGTGTGAGTACTGTGTGTGTATTGTGTGTGTACTGTGAGTACTGTGTGTGTGCTGTGAGTACTGTGCTTGTGTGAGTACTGTGAGTGTACTGTGTGTAATGTGTGTACTGTGAGTCCTGTGTGAGTACTGTGTGTGTACTGTGTGAGTACTGTGAGTACTGTGTGTCTGTGTACTGTGTGTGTACTGGGTGAGTACTGTGTGTGTACTGTGTGTGTACTGTGTGAGTACTGTGTGTGTATTGTGTGTGTGAGTACTGTGTGTGTACTGTGTGTGTACTGTGAGTACTGTGAGTGTACTGTGTGTGTACTGTGTGTGTGTACTGTGTGAGTACTGTGTGTGTACTGTGTGTGTACTGTGAGTACTGTGTGTGTACTGAGTGTGTGTACTGTGTGAGTACTGTGTGTGTACTGTGTGTGTACTGTGAGTACTGTGAGTGTACTGTGTGTGTACTGTGTGTGTGTACTGTGAGTACTGTGTGTGTACTGTGTGTGTACTGTGAGTACTGTGAGTGTACTGTGTGTGTACTGTGTGTGTGTACTGTGTCAGTACTGTGTGTGTACTGTGTGTGTACTGTGAGTGTACTGTGTGTGTACTGTGAGTACTGTGTGTGTACTGTGAGTACTGTGCTTGTGTGAATACTGTGAGTGTACTGTGTGTAATGTGTGCACTGTGAGCCCTGTGTGAGTACTGTTTGTACTGTGTGTGTACTGTGTGAGTACTGTGAGTACTGTGTGTCTGTGTACTGTGTGTGTACTGGGTGAGTACTGTGTGTGTACTGTGTGTGTACTGTGTGTGTATTGTGTGTGTGTGAGTACTGTGTGTGTGTACTGTGTGTGTGTGTTTACTGTGTGTGTGAGTACTGTGTGAGTACTGTGTGAGTACTGTGTGTGTACTGTGTACTGTGTGTGAGTACTGTGTGAGTACTTTGTGTACTGTGTGTGTACTGTGTGAGTACTGTGTACTGTGAGTACTGTACGAGTACTGCGTGTGTGTACTGTGTGTGTGTGAGTACTGTGAGTGTACTGTGTGTGTACTGTGTGTGTGTACTGTGTGAGTACTGTGTGTGTACTGTGTGAGTACTGTGTGTGTACTGTGTGAGTACTGTGTGTGCATTGTGTGTGTACTGTGACCACTGTGTGTGTGCTGTGAGTACTGTGCTTGTGTGAGTACTGTGAGTGTACTGTGTGTAATGTGTGTACTGTGAGCCCTGTGTGAGTACTGTGTGTACTGTGTGTACTGTGTGAGTACTGTGAGTACTGTGTGTCTGTGTACTGTGTGTGTACTGGGTGAGTACTGTGTGTGTACTGTGTGTGTACTGTGTGAGTACTGTGTGTGTATTGTGTGCGTGAGTACTGTGTGTGTGTACTGTGTGTGTGAGTACTGTATGAGTACTGTGTGAGTACTGTGTGTGTACTGTGAGTGTACTGTGAGTACTGTAAGTGTACTGTGTGTGTGTACTGTGTGAGTACTGTGTGTGTACTGTGTGTGTACTGTGAGTACTGTGAGTGTACTGTGTGTGTACTGTGTGTGTGTACTGTGAGTACTGTGTGTGTACTGTGTGTGTACTGTGAGTACTGTGAGTGTACTGTGTGTGTACTGTGTGTGTGTACTGTGTGAGTACTGTGTGTGTACTGTGTGTGTACTGTGAGTACTGTGTGTGTACTGTGAGTACTGTGCTTGTGTGAATACTGTGAGTGTACTGTGTGTAATGTGTGTACTGTGAGCCCTGTGTGAGTACTGTGTGTACTGTGTGTGTACTGTGTGAGTACTGTGAGTACTGTGTGTCTGTGTACTGTGTGTGTACTGGGTGAGTACTGTGTGTGTACTGTGTGTGTACTGTGTGAGTACTGTGTGTGTATTGTGTGTGTGTGAGTACTGTGTGTGTGTACTGTGTGTGTGTTTACTGTGTGTGTGAGTACTGTGTGAGTACTGTGTGTGTACTGTGTGTGAGTACTGTGTGAGTACTTTGTGTACTGTGTGTGTACTGTGTGAGTACTGTGTACTGTGAGTACTGCACGATTACTGCGTGTGTGTACTGTGTGTGTGTGAGTACTGTGTGAGTACTGTGTGAGTACTGTGTACTGTGTGAGTACTGTGTACTGTGTTAGTACTGTCTGAGTACTGTGTTAGTACTGTGTGAGTACTGTGTACTGTGTTAGTACTGTGTGAGTACTGTGTGAGTACTGTGTTAGTACTGTGTTAGTACTGTGTGAGTACTGTGTACTGTGTTAGCACTGTGTGAGTACTGTGTGAGTACTGTGTGAGTACTGTGCCAGTACTTGTAGTAGCAAACGTCGGTTCCAGCACGGACCCAGTACGGCCTCCCCTCCAGAGCCTCGCGTACTGAGTAGAGTACAGGCTGCATGCCTGTAGTACACACACACAGTACACACACACAGCACACACACACAGTACACACACACAGTACACACACAGTACACACACACAGTACACACACAGTACACACACAGTACACACACACAGTATACACACACAGTACACACACACAGTACACACACACAGTATACACACACAGTACACACACACAGCACACACACACAGTACACACACACAGTACACACACAGTACACACACACAGTACACACACAGTACACACACAGTACACACACACAGTATACACACACAGTACACACACTCAGTACACACACACAATACACACACACAGTACACACACACAGCACACACACACAGTACACACACACAATACACACACAGCACACACACACAGTACACACAATCAGTACACACACACAGTACACACACACAGTACACACACACAGTACACACACAGTACACACACAGTACACACACACAGTATACACACTCAGTACACACACACAATACACACACACAGTACACACACACAGCACACACACACAGTACACACACACAGTACACACACACAGCACACACACACAGTACACACAATAAGTACACACACACAGTACACACACACAGTACACACACACAGTACACACACACACACAGTACACACACAGTACACACACAGTACACACACACAGGACACACACACAGTACACACAATCAGTACACACACACACAGTACACACACAGTACACACACAGTACACACACACAGCACACACACACAGTACACACAATCAGTACACACACACTCAGTACACACACACAGTACACACACACAGTACACACACAGTACACACACACAGTACACACAATAAGTACACACACACAGCACACACACACAGTACACACACACAGCACACACACAGTACACACACACAGTACACACACACAGTACACACACATTACACACACACAGTATACACACACAGTACACACAGACAGTACACACACAGTACACACACAGTACACACACACACAGTACACACACAGTACACACACAGCACACACACAGTACACACACACAGCACACACACACAGCACACACAGTACACACACACAGTACTCACACAGTACACACACACAGTACACACACACAGTACACTCACACAGTACACACACAGTACACACACACAGTACACACACACAGTACACACACAGTACACACACAGCACACACACAGCACACACACACAGCACACACACACAGCACACACACACAGCACACACACAGCACACACACAGCATACACACACAGCACACACACACAGTACACACACAGTACACACACAGTACACACACAGTATATACACACAGTACACACACAGTACACACACACAGTACACACACACAGCACACACACAGTACACACACACAGTACACACACACACAGTACACACACAGTACACACACAGTACACACACACAGCACACACACAGTACACACACACAGCACACACACACAGTACACACACACACACAGTACACACACAGTACACACACAGTACACACACACAGCACACACACACAGTACACACAATCAGTACACACACACACAGTACACACACAGTACACACACACAGCACAAACACACAGTACACACAATCAGTACACACACACTCAGTACACACACACACAGTACACCCACACAGTACACACACAGTACACACACACAGTACACACACAGTACACACACACACACAGTACACACACAGTACACACACAGCACACACACACAGTACACACACACAGCACACACACACAGCACACACACACAGTACTCACACAGTACTCACACAGCACACACACACAGTACACACACACAGTACACACACAGTACACACACAGTACACACACACAGTATACACACACAGTACACACACTCAGTACACACACACAATACACACACACAGTACACACACACAGCACACACACACAGTACACACACACAATACACACACAGCACACACAATCAGTACACACACACAGTACACACACACAGTACACACACACAGTACACACACACAGTACACACACAGTACACACACAGTACACACACACAGTATACACACACAGTACACACACTCAGTACACACACACACAATACACACACACAGTACACACACACAGCACACACACAGTACACACACACAGCACACACACACAGTACACACAATAAGTACACACACACAGTACACACACACAGTACACACACACAGTACACACACACACACACACAGTACACACACAGTACACACACACAGGACACACACAGTACACACAATCAGTACACACACACACAGTACACACACAGTACACACACAGTACACACACACAGCACACACACACAGTACACACAATCAGTACACACACACTCAGTACACACACACAGTACACACACACAGTACACACACAGTACACACACACAGTACACACAATAAGTACACACACACAGCACACACACACAGTACACACACACAGCACACACACAGTACACACACACAGTACACACACACAGTACACACACATTACACACACACAGTATACACACACAGTACACACAGACAGTACACACACAGTACACACACAGTACACACACACACAGTACACACACAGTACACACACAGCACACACACACAGTACACACACACAGCACACACACACAGCACACACACAGTACACACACACAGTACTCACACAGTACTCACACAGTACACACACACAGTACACACACACAGTACACACACACAGTATACACACACAGTACACACACACAGTACACACACAGTACACACACACAGTACACACACAGTACACACACAGCACACACACAGCACACACACACAGCACACCCACACAGCACACACACACAGCACACACACACAGCACACACACAGCACACACACAGCATACACACACAGCACACACACACAGTACACACACAGTACACACACAGTATATACACACAGTACACACACACAGTACACACACACAGCACACACACAGTACACACACACAGTACACACACACACAGTACACACACAGTACACACACAGTACACACACACAGCACACACACAGTACACACCCACAGCACACACACACAGTACACACACACACAGTACACACACAGTACACACACAGTACACACACACAGCACACACACACACAGTACACACAATCAGTACACACACACACAGTACACACACAGTACACACACAGTACACACACACAGCACAAACACACAGTACACACAATCAGTATACACACACTCAGTACACACACACAGTACACCCACACAGTACACACACAGTACACACACACAGTACACACACAGTACACACACACAGCACACACACACAGTACACACAATCAGTACACACACACAGTACGTACACACACAATACACACACACAGTATGTACACACAGTACACACACAGTACACACACACAGTATATACACACAGTACACACACAGTACACACACAGTACACACACACACACAGTACACACACAGTACACACACAGCACACACACACAGTACACACACACAGCACACACACACAGCACACACACAGTACTCACACAGTACACACACACAGTACACACACACAGTACACACACAGTACACACACAGTACACTCACACAGTACACACACAGTACACACACACAGTACACACACACAGCACACACACACAGCACACACACACAGCACACACACACAGCACACACACAGCATACACACACAGCACACACGCACAGTACACACACAGTACACACACAGTACACACACACAGTATATACACACAGTACACACACACAGTACACACACACAGTACACACACACACACAGTACACACACAGTACACACACACATAGTACACACACAGCACACACACACACACAGTACACACACACAGCACACACACATTACAGACACACAGTACACACAGTGTACACACACACAGTACACACACACATTACAGACACACAGTACACACACAGTACTCACACAGACATTACTCACACAGCACACACACATACACAATACACACACAGTACTCACACAGTACTCACACAGTACTCACACAGTACACACACAGTACTCACACACACAGTACACACACAGTACACACACAGTACACTCACACAGCACACACAGTCCACACACAGTACTCACACAGTACAGACAGTACTCACACAGTACACACACAGTACACTCACACAGTACTCACACAGCACACACACACAATACACACACAGTACTCACACAGTACTCACACAGTACACACACAGTACTCACACACACAGTACACACACAGTACACACACAGTACACTCATACAGCACACACACAGTACACACACAGTACTCACACAGTACACACAGTCTACACAGACATGACTCACACAGCACACATACACAGTACTCACACAGTACACTCACACAGCACACACAGTACTCACACAGCACACACAGTACTCATACAGTACAGACAGTACTCACACAGTACACACACCGTCCACACAGACATGACTCACACAGCACACACACAGTACTCACACAGTACTCACACAGTACACACAGTACACACACACGGCTCACTTCCGCACCATACACATGTAGCACTTACTATCGTACACAGTTGATGAGGTTGAGAAGGTGAGTGAGTAGGTGAGTGAGTGAGTAGGTGAGTGAGTGAGTAGGTGAGTGAGTAGGTGAGTGAGTGAGTAGGTGAGTGAGTGAGTAGGTGAGTGAGTGAGTGAGTAGGTGAGTGAGTAGGTGAGTGAGTGACTAGGTGAGTGAGTGAGTAGGTGAGTGAGTGAGTAGGTGAGTGAGTAGGTGAGTGAGTAGGTGAGTGAATAGGTGAGTGAGCGAGTAGGTGAGTGAGTAGTTGAGTGAGTAGGTGAGTGAGTGAGTAGGTGAGTGAGTAGGTGAGTGAGCGAGTAGGTGAGTGAGTGAGTATCTGAGTGAGTGAGTAGGTGAGTGAGTAGGTGAGTGAGTAGGTGAGTAAATAGGTGAGTGAGCGAGTAGGTGAGTGAGTAGGTGACTGAGTAGGTGAGTGAGTGAGTGAGTAGGTGAGTGAGTAGGTGAGTGAGCGAGTAGGTGAGTGAGTGAGTAGGTGAGTGAGTGAGTAGGTGAGTGAGTGAGTAGGTGAGTGAGTAAGTGAGTGAGTAGGTGAGTAAATAGGTGAGTGAGCGAGTAGGTGAGTGAGTAGGTGAGTGAGTAGGTGAGTGAGTGAGTGAGTAGGTGAGTGAGTAGGTGAGTGAGCGAGTAGGTGAGTGAGTGAGTAGGTGAGTGAGTGAGTAGGTGAGTGAGTAGGTACAGTGAGGGAAGAAAGTATTTGATCCCCTGCTGATTTTGTACTTTTGCCCACTGACAAAGAAATGATTAGTCTATAATTTTAATGGTAGGTTTATATGAACAGTGAGAGACAGAATAACAACAACAAAATCCAGAAAAACGCATGTCAAAAATGTTATAAATTGATTTGCATTTTAATGAAGGAAATAAATATTTGACCCCCTCTCAATCATAAAGATTTCTGGCTCCCAGGTGTCTTTTATACAGGTAACGAGCTGAGATTAAGAGCACACTCTTAAAGGGAGTGCTCCTAATCTCAGCTTGTTACCTGTATAAAAGACACCTGTCCACAGAAGCAATAAATCAATCAGATTCCAAAATTTTCCATCATTGGCAAGACCAAAGAGCTCTCCAAGGATGTCAGGGACAAGATTGTAGACCTACACAAGGCTGGAATGGGCTACAAGACCATTGCCAAGCAGCTTGGTGAGAAGGTGACAACAGTTGGTGCGATTATTCGCAAATGGAAGAAACACAAAAGAACTGTCAATCTCCCTCAGCCTGGGGCTCCATGCAAGATCTCACCTCGTGGAGTTGCAATGATCATGAGAACGGTGAGGAATCAGCCCAGAACTACACGAGAGGATATTGTCAATGATCTCAAGACAGCTGGGACCATAGTCAGCAAGAAAACAATTGGTAACACACCACGCCGTGAAGGACTGAAATCCTGCTGCGCCCGCAAGGTCCCCCTGCTCAAGAAAGCACATATACATGCCCGTCTGAAGTTTGCCAATGAACATCTGAATGATTCAGAGGACAACTGGGTGAAAGTGTTGTGGTCAGATGAGACCAAAATGGAGCTCTTTGGCATCAACTCAACTCGCCGTGTTTGGAGGAGGATGAATGCTGCCTATAACCCCAAGAACACCATCCCCACCGTCAAACATGGAGGTGGGAACATTATGCTTTGGCGGTGTTTTTCTGCTAAGGGGACAGGACATCTTTGCCGCATCAAAGGGACGATGGACGGGGCCATGTACCGTCAAATCTTGGGTGAGAACCTCGTTCCCTCAGCCAGGGCATTGAAAATGGGTCGTGGATGGGTATTCCAGCATGACAATGACCCAAAACACACGGCCAAGGCAACAAAGGAGTGGCCCAAGAAGAAGCACATTAAGGTCTTGGAGTGGCCTAGCCAGTCTCCAGACCTTAATCCCATAGAAAATCTGTGGAGGGAGCTGAAGGTTCGAGTTGCCAAACGTCAGCCTCGAAACCTTAATGACTTGGAGAAGATCTGCAAAGAGGAGTGGGACAAAATCCCTCCTGAGATGTGTGCAAACCTGGTGGCCAACTACAAGAAACGTCTGACCTCTGTGATTGCCAACAAGGGTTTTGCCACCAAGTACTAAGTCATGTTTTGCATAGGGGTCAAATACTTATTTCTCTCGTTAAAATGCAAATCAATTTATAACATTTTTGACATGCGTTTTTCTGGATTTTCTTTTGTTATTCTGTCTCTCACTGTTCAAATAAACCTACCATTAAAATTATAGACTGATAATTTCTTTGTCAGTGGGCAAACGTACATAATCAGCAGGGGATCAAATACTTTTTTCCCTCACTGTAAGTGAGCGAGTAGGTGAGTGCGTGAGTAGGTGAGTGAGTGAGTAGGTGAGTGAGTAGGTGAGTGAGTAGGTGAGTGAGTGAGTAGGTGAGTGAGTGAGTAGGTGAGTGAGTGAGTAGGTGAGTGAGTGAGTAGGTGAGTGAGCGAGTAGGTGAGTGAGTGAGTAGGTGAGTGAGTGAGTAGGTGAGTGAGTGAGTAGGTGAGTGACTAGGTGAGTGAGTAGGTGAGTGAGTAGGTGAGTGAGTGAGTAGGTGAGTGAGTGAGTAGGTGATTGAGTGAGTAGGTGAGTGAGTGAGTAGGTGAGTGAGTAGGTGAGTGAGTAGGTGAGTAACTAGGTGAGCGAGTAGGTGAGTGAGTAGGTGAGTGAGTAGGTGAGTGACTAGGTGAGTGAGTCTCACCGTGGTTGAACTGGCTGCTAGACTTTTCACAGTTGATGATGTTTAGCCGGTAGGCCGTGCCAGCCTCGACGTTCCCCACCTCGAAGTAGAACCACTGGTGGTGACGGTCCGAGTTGGGATCCGAGTTCAGCAGCAGGTCGTACTCGTAGCTACCACCACAACCAAAACGATCACAACAACCATACAGCTACCACCACCACCAACAACAACCGCCACAACAACCATACAGCTACCACCACCAACAACAACCGCCACAACAACCACACAGCTACCACCACCAACAACAACCGCAAAGCTACAGCTACTTCCTCAGTGACGTCATTCACCCACTATTCCACTCACCCTCCCACCCATCCTCCCACCCACCCAACATTCCACCCACTCACTCATCCTCCCACCCACCCACCCACGCACTCACCCTCCCACCCATCCTCCCACTCACCCACCCACCATTCCATCCACTCACTCACTCACTCATCCTCCCACCCACCCACGCACTCACCCTCCCACCCTCCCACCCACCTACCCACCCACCTACCCACTCACCCTCCCACCCATCCTCCCACTCACCCACCCACCATTCCACCCACTCACTCACTCATCCTCCCACTCACCCACCCACCTACCCACGCACTCACCCTCCCACCCATCCTCCCACTCACCCACCCACCCACCATTCCACCCACTCACTCATCCTCCCACCCACCCACCCACCCACCTACCCACGCACTCACCCTCCCACCCATCCTCCCACTCACCCACCCACCCACCATTCCACCCACTCACTCACTCATCCTCCCACCCACCCACCCACCTACCCACGCACTCACCCTCCCACCCATCCTCCCACTCACCCACCCACCATTCCACCCACTAACTCATCCTCCCACCCACCCACCTACCCACGCACTCACCCTCCCACCCATCCTCCCACTCACCCACCCACCATTCCACCCACTAACTCACCCTCCCACCCACCCACCTACCCACGCACTCACCCTCCCACCCATCCTCCCACCCACCCACCCACCATTCCACCCACTCACTCACTCATCCTCCCACCCACCCACCCACGCACTCACCCTTCCACCCATCCTCCCACTCACCCACACACCCACCATTCCACCCACTCACTCATCCTCCCACCCACCCACGCACTCACCCTCCCACCCACCCACCCACTTACCCACGCACTCACCCTCCCACCCATCCTCCCACTCACCCACCCACCCACCATTCCACCCACCCACTCACTCATCCCCCCACCCACCCACTCACCCACCGAGCCACCCACCCCCTCACCGCCCCGCTCACCTGCGGACCTGAATGGCCTTACGGAGGTTCCCACTCTCGAAGGCTGAGTAGAAAGTCAGGGGGGGGGTCCCTGTCCCCACAGCCTCCTGCGCAGAGGGGGGGCTGGGGGAGGGGGTTCACACGCAGGCAAAGGTCCCCCGTGTAGCCCACACAGGCTGCTGGAGCAAGTGCTGTTAGCGAGCGAGCAGGAACGCGTGCAGGGCGGGTAGAGGCAGCACTGCCATTGGGCGAGTGGGTGGGTGGTAGGGTGGGTGAGTGAGTGAGTGAGTGGGTGGGTGAGCGAGTGAGTGAGTGGGTAGGTGCGTGAGCGGGTGGGTGGGTGAGTGGATGCGTGGGTGAGCGAGTGTGTGTGTGGGTGAGTGAGTGTGTGGGTGGGTGAGTAGGTGCGTGCGTGAGTAAGCGAGTTGTAGGGGTGTAGACTGTTTTACTGCACTCACGTTGTACTCTCGATGTCAAACACCACTCGGTTGAGGAGTGTATCCGGATGAACGATCCGAGCGATGTCTTCAAGTACGTAGTCTCTACACGGGGATATGGGGTCACAGGGTCACTGACTGTCATTCACTCACCCAGTCACTCACTGTCACTCACCCACATACTCATTCACTAATCCACGTACCCACCCACTCACCCCCTCAACCACTCATCCACCCACTCAGTGAATAAGTGAGTGATGTAGGTAAAATAACTTATATATGAAAACAACTAAATTAAATCACGACGTTTCGGAGGCAACACAAGCTTCCGTCTTCAGGTGGAACAGTCACAGCAAAAATGCTGTATCAAGTGATACAACAATTAAATCACAAAACGTCGTAATTTAATTCAGTTGTTTTCATTTATTTTATTTTACCTATGTGACTTTACCGAAAAAAACAAAGAGTATGAATTCTTGCAGTCACGAAAGCTTCAAATCTATAAATAAGTGAGTGGTTGAGCGAGTGGCTGAGCGAGCGAGTGGCTGAGCGAGCGAGTGGCTGAGCGAGCGAGTGGCTGAGCGAGCGAGTGACTGAGCGAGCGAGTGACTGAGCGAGCGAGTGGTTGAGCGAGCGAGTGGCTGAGCGAGCGAGTGGCTGAGCGAGCGAGTGGCTGAGCGAGCGAGTGGCTGAGCGAGCGAGTGGCTGAGCGAGCGAGTGGCTGAGCGAGCGAGTGACTGAGCGAGCGAGTGGCTGAGCGAGTGAGTGAGTGGCTGAGTGAATGAGTGGCTGAGCGAGTGAGTGGCTGAGCGAGTGAGTGGCTGAGCGAGTGAGTGGCTGAGCGAGTGAGTGAGTGGCTGAGCAAGTGAGTGGATGAGTGAGTGAGTGGCTGAGTGAGTGAGTGGCTGAGCGAGTGAGTGGCTGAGCAAGTGAGTGAGTGGCTGAGCGAGTGAGTGGCTGAGCGAGTGAGTGGCTGAGCAAATGAGTGAGTGGCTGAGCGAGTGAGTGGCTGAGCCAGTGAGCGAGTGACTGAGTGAGCGAGTGGCTGAGCAAGTGAGTGAGTGGCTGAGTGACTAAGTGAGTGGGTGAGCGAGTGGATGAGCGAGCGAGTGGCTGAGCAAGTGAGTGGCTGAGCAAGTGAGTGCCTGAGCGAGCGAGTGGCTGAGCGAGCAAGTGGCTGAGCGAGCGAGTGGCTGAGCAAGTGAGTGAGTGGCTGAGCAAGTGAGTGAGTGGCTAAGCAAGTGAGTGAGTGGGTGAGCGAGTGGCTGAGCGAGCGAGTGGCTGAGCGAGCGAGTGGCTGAGCGAGCGAGTGGCTGAGCGAGCGAGTGGCTGAGCGAGCGAGTGGCTGAGCGAGCGAGTGGTTGAGCGAGCGAGTGGCTGAGCGAGCGAGTGGCTGAGCAAGCGAGTGGCTGAGCGAGCGAGTGGATAAGCGAGCGAGTGGCTGAGCAAGTGAGTGAGTGGCTGAGCAAGTGAGTGAGTGGCTAAGCGAGTGAGTGGCTGAGCCAGTGAGCGAGTGGATGAGCAAGTGAGTGAGTGGCTGAGCGAGTGAGTGGCTGAGCGAGCGAGTGGCTGAGCAAGTGAGTGAGTGGCTGAGCGAGTGGCTGAGCGAGCGAGTGACTGAGCGAGCGAGTGACTGAGCGAGCGAGTGACTGAGCGAACGAGTGACTGAGTGAGCGAGTGGCTGAGCGAGCGAGTGACTGAGCGAGCGAGTGACTGAGCGAGTGAGTGGCTGAGTGAGTGAGTGGCTGAGCGAGCGAGTGGTTGAGTGAGCGAGTGGCTGAGCGAGCGAGTGACTGAGTGAGCGAGTGACTGAGCGCGCGAGTGACTGAGTGAGCGAGTGGCTGAGCGAGCGAGTGGCTGAGCGAGCGAGTGGCTGAGCGAGTGACTGAGTGAGCGAGTGACTGAGCGAGCGAGTGACTGAGCGAGCGAGTGGCTGAGCGAGCGAGTGGCTGAGCGAGCGAGTGGCTGAGTGAGCGAGTGGCTGAACCACCACCACCACCACCACCACCTCTGGACGTGTTCCCGCCGGGGTAGCTGCCGTGTGGGTGCCGGTGCTGGCGAGTGGCCGTGGGCGTCCGGGAAGGCGGTGGGGGCCGTGGCCCCGCGGTGCCCCGGCGCTGGCGAGGCAACGCCGCGGGTGAGGCGGGCGGCCCGGGCGTGGCGGCACGCCGCCTCCGGCCCCACGGCCCACTCAGAGGTGGGAGGCCATGGAGCGGGGCCCCCCGCCGCTGCGTCGCCACTGGAGGCACTGCACGCACCACACGCACCGCACACAATACACCACACACACACAAATACACACAACACACACCACACACACACACGCACACACCACACACAAATACACCACACACACCACACACACACCACACACAACACACACACACACACAAATACACCACACGCACCGCACACAAATACACCACACACACCACACACACCACACACACACACCACACACAAATACACCACACACACAAATACACACAAATACACACACACACCACACACACCACACACACACCACACACACACACACACAAATACACCACACACACAAATACACACA